CGGTTTTCCGAAAACGACGACAGTTCTGCGTTTCGCGACCACAAAAAACAAGAAGTCACAAGCGAACCAAATTGAGAAGTCACAAGCGAACCCCGGAAGAAGTCACAAGCGAACCCTCTACCGTCGGCTTCAGGCACACACAAATCTGAGTTTGTGATCAGCTCACTCAAGGAAGCCGCTGCTTCAGACAAGTCACTCCTCGACGTGCATGGTCATTACCACATGCAGGTCTTGAAGGTTCCGGTCTGCCAAGGCCACTGTGAAAGCTTGCTTCATAGCCTTTGTCGCGACCAATTCGCCAGTCTTTCGGCGAAGTACGATTTGTGTGGCAGCAGCTTCACCTGCATCAGCTGAGGTGGTACATTTCCAATAGTGGAGAAAACATGAAAATAATATGGAACATGAAATGGAAACTGGTTGTATGCATCTTCCTGCAGCACTCCACTCTACTTTCAATGCCTGTCTCGGTGGCCATGTTTAGCCGGCTCTCGCACTGGAAGGACAAGCAACTATCGGGCGAGAGCAGGCGCATGAGCTCCTGAAAACATGCCAGCGGAGAACCGATAAAAAGCTTCTTAGGGTTCTATGGGGACAAAATAGGAGTGATGGAAAAATGGTCTTGGGAGTCCTTGCTCTGGAGCTCTGCCCGTGAGTAGCCCACCAACTCTTCGAAACCCTTTGAGATAAAGTCGAAAGAGCCATCCTGGTTGCAGAAACGATGAAAGCACAGATGACTCATCTTGTCAAGATGAGTACACCAACCCAAACATGTTCAGAGTGGCCTGTGGAATGTGGTCATAGGAGGCATGAGCAGCAACTGCATCCTGGCTCTGAGCGATGGCTTCGTCGACCGCTCGGAGAAGGCATCCTCCCCAGCCCAACGCTTATGCAAACATCGGCGAACGAGCGCCCCCTGCATTCTGACGTCCTCTCCACGTCTTGTCCGGGAGGAAGGAGATCTCGTCATCAAAGTCGATGCTGTCCTCGATCACGTCCACTACGGAGACGTCCCCTGCAACCGTGCAACAGCTTCAGCCAATAGGAACGAAACGTCAAAAACCCGTCTGACCCCGCAGGATGATCATGTTGGACTCTCTGCGTTCACAACTGTTCCTGATCCATTCCCATCTATCACAGCGTGTCCAGACCTCCTTCGGGGATTGTGGTCTCTTCGGTCTGAAACCTGCCACCTCAGAAGAGCCAACTTCTGGACGGCGGTATCATGGATGAGAGAGCAAGGGCCTCCACAGCCGTTGGCCTTGTCCTCGTCTAGGAAATCAAGTGGCACTGTACCAAAGATGGATGGGAACCTCAAACCACTTTGCATTGATTGCTACCTCTAGAACAAAGGAATCGATGCAAAAATGGAGTATGAACTCTCAACCACTGCCACGGGTGCATGCATGCCTGTCAAGGACTGAGCTGTGAACAAGGGAAAGGAAGTTCGACCTCCCAGCGTCTGCAGCATGGCAGTTCGTGAACTGCTTTGCGGTTCGAGGACACTGTCCAGCTTCTGATGCTTTGGATTCTGGAGTTTGCTGACTCTTCGAGCCAGCTGAGGGCCCGGGGCGTTTCTTCTGGCAAATCGTTGTTGCGACGGATTTGAATCTGACATCAGTGGGTCACACTTGAGCCGATACTGTGGAAGCGCGTCGGCACACAAACTAGTCTTGATGGAGGAAACCAGGGAGAGCAGCATCAAACTCAGACAGCACTAAG